GAGAAGAGGTAAAATGAATGCTTATGAAAGTTAATACAGGGATGAATGAATGGAATTTGGAAAACAAGGAACACTTTACAAACTGGCAGCCATTTTAAAGAGCACAGAAATCAAAATTTTAAACAATATTTCAAAGGCTGCAACAATATTAAAATATTTTTTGGTAAAATTCCTTGAAAAAAAATGCTGCTTATTAGCTTTCCATTTTTATCCTCTCCTCATAACTTTTTTGATTACCTCATAAGAGCCTAACTTTAACTGTCCAGCATTGTTATTTCCATCTCCCTCTAGGAAATATTCCTAATTCTAAGTCTTAGGGTCTGCATAACGATGCATAATTAAACGTTAAATTGTTACAGATATCAGTAAGCTGGTAATTCAATGACATTTCTCTGACAGGTATGTCTACTGCACTAATGTAAAATGCATATTTTTTTTACATATGGATTAATAAATAGCATTTGTTAAAAACACAATTATTGGTTTTCACACAAATACTATCATTTTAAAATCAAGGGTTTTTCCTCCTAGCACACCCCATGCTCGATTCATGCCTGGTAAACATTCTCCTGTCCTGGCAAATGGAAAATGAAAACAAAATCACTGCTGGACATGGTGATACAAAAGCATTTTCCATTTTATGTGCACTTTTCAACCCATATAAAATAAGAATAAACTCCATTTTTTGCAGCAGTTTCCAAAACATAATCAGAGAGATGCTAGTAAACATTTAACTTTAGATTAGCTTTCTCAAAACTTTTGAGCACAGAAATTGAAGATTTGCTCACACTCTGCAGCTAGTCCTCAGTATCTTTTTTTAAGCCTCTCTTGGCATCTCATTTTCACGCACCATCTGAGATGACTTGGAACACATCAGAAAATAACACCACCACTTCCACAAAGCAACTGCCTGGACAGTGACTATTTCCACATCCATCATTTATGGAACTCTGTTTCTGGGAGAAATTTTATTTTAAGTGTCAATACTAAAAAATGGTATTATTGGACTTGGCTGCTTCAGTCAGTAAATGTAGTCGGCACCTACTCAGCAACAGCTTATTTTTATTACTTGGAATAAGACACATTTCTGACAGTTATTTTTAAATTGTCATAAAGGAAAATAAATTTAATTTTGGTAGAGGTATCAGCATGCTGTATGTGTAGCTTGAAGTGACTGTAAAATGATGCATGCCCCATGATTTTATTTTTACAGTTAACACCACCCCAAAATGAGGCAAAGCATGTGAATCCTTCTACCCCAGCCCTCTTTATGCAAATGAGATTATGAAATAGCTTCACAGTGTAGGCTCAGCCTAAATTCCATTATTGAAAGGCTTGGGATAGCAGTTCTATCTATGGAGATCAATTTCTGAATCTTATTTTTCAACATCTTCTAGGATTCATAAAAATGATCATAGTTTTGGTCTTGATATTTGCCTTTTTATTTCAGAAATAAACAGAAGAAAACATACACATACACACACTCACCATATTGTTTATGAAAGAATGGATGATTTTCATTATAGCATTCAAATTCACCAAATGAATATAAGGCAGTTACTCAAAAAATTGAAGAATTTCAAATGATATGAAAAAATAATTATAAAAATACTATTGAAATATGTCAACTCAGTTTTTTTGTCAAGTGTTCATATATATTCAGAGAAATATATATGTATAAATTATAGCAAATGTATATTTGCATGTATTTTTATCCTTTTCATCTGTATATTTATATTTCTATATCGCTGGAAAATATAGATAAAATAAAACAAGCTATTTGTAGGTGAGAGATGATAGATATTTTCATCTTAATTTATTCCATTTTCTATTCAAAATGTTTTATAATTCAACTAAATAAAATTTTATATTATTCAATGTGAGAGCATTATTATTTATCTCACATCAGAATTGATATAGAAAAATAGATACACTTTATACTAGTCACACATGTTCTTGAGTCAATCAGCACTGAGTAACTAATTTTAAATATTGCCTGTCAATTCAGCATAACACCTGTGATCTGCATTAAGGTTTTATCACATGTTCAACTCCTGTAAAAATTGTAATCTTTCAAGGGTTTTACATTCAACAAGTTCATTTGCAACTCAAAGATTTAATGTATTTTCAGGTATTTCTTATAAAGCTATAATCTCTATAAAACACATTTTTTAAATTAGAAGGAAAAGGTAGAAGATTGAGAATCAGCAGGTGAATCTAATTTCAATTTTGGATAGTAATGAAAACATATTTTTGTTTTTATTATGACATTTTCAAAAGAACAGTTTTGATTTTAGTTAAATGATTTTTTTAAATTTTTACTTTGGTGTGTGGGGGCAACTCAGAGTACTTAGCAAAAACCAACTTGGAATTTTCACTCAGTTCTCAAAATATCACCACATATTCTTTGAACCATTGGCATAATGCATCCAGTTTATAAAATCATTTGCATTGCATTGAGCTTTTGCCTGTCTTGTATCTTTAGATAAATTTGAAAGCTAAAGAAATACCCACTGTATTGAATATCTTAAATAATATGGCTGAAATTTGTGAATTGAAATTCCTAAGTTCAAAAAATGATTAACTGCAGCTTGATTTTATGCTTGGAATTTCCCATGCTTCATAGCATTTCTAAAATATTATGAGGGGAAAAAAACTTCCTCCTACAATTTATAGCAATTTTCGTCATATTTATGTAAAATGTAGAAACTTAAAGAAATATCAAATCCATATACCCTCTAATTGTTACCTCAGTCTTTTAACTATGTCCCTTAACTCTTGAAGAGAAGAATCACAGAGTTCAAGTGACTTCAAGGACCAAATCTTGGTATTCCCATAGAAAAGATTTTAACTATGTTGCACAGAGTAATGGGAATAAGCATGCAAGGGATTGGCACTGAGCTGACCTTCCCATGAGAGAATAGGGTAGCTATTGAAGAGTCCGGGTTTTTTTAAGGGGACTGAGATCCTTTCATCTTACCTCAATTTTTAATACTCCATTAAGTGGTTTGTTACCCCTTGTACAGACTTCAGAAAATCTTTGTGTGTATCCTGATGGTCACAAAGTGACTGTGACCTATTTTTGGTGATGACCTTTCACAGCAGGAGAGTTGTGAGGACCTGGTTTCAAGAGATCTTGAAACAATAGTTGCCTTAAGGGATTACAATTAACTGTCTGGAGTGTTTGGAAATACCGATTCCATTTTCCTGATTCTCACCTGCTTTGATAAAGTTTTCTGTTATCCCCAGTCCTGTGATTTATAGACTCTCTTTGATGTGTATGTCTGATGTCCTATTTCTACCAACTTACTCATGCCTGAATCCTAACACAATCAAGTATAAATCCTATGCTTATGCTCATAAACAAACATATTTTCAGAGCAAGTTTTGAAGTAAATACAAATTCTAAAATGAATAAATTCATGTTAATAACATTAATTTGAAGGATAGCACTTTACTGAACCTAAACCACAACGTCAAGCTTGAAAGCTAAGATGTAGCCAATGTTGAACTTACATTTAATTGGTATTTCTAATTTGTTTCTAATACTAACACACAGAAAGAGTAATTGCATAGAATATATGTTTATGTAATTAAAAATATTTTAAATCTCTTTTTGTGCTGCAATGTTAACAAACACAAAAGTCATTTTTTACCAAATTTTGCCAGAGAGCAGCAACTGAATGCAGATTGTAAGGCACATCCCAATGGTTATGAGCACTATAAAAGTTCAAAGTTTTTTCTTTAAGTGATCTGCTGAGGGCATTAAGCTCTCAAATATAAAGTCTTGGATACTGAAATCAGAAAACTAGACAATCCTGTATGAAAATAGTTTAAAACACTTTAGGTCGGCATCTGAATGAAAGAAATATAGATGATATAATTTATAAGAATATAAATTATTGTGTAAAATAATTATACATTTATTTATATTAATCATAAGAATATGCATTAGCAATCTGTAATATGTAATATTTTAAATAAGCTGTAAAATGTAATATTTTAAGGTGATATTTGTTGTACGTATATACTTATTCTTAGACAATTTATGTTTCTCCAAATATATGTTGAGCTTCCACTTATTCTTGGACTCCAGTTTGAGCAATGCTGACCATATACCTGTGATAATTTCCCTTCTCTTTGATTCCCTCCCTTTTGGATTTCATGTGCATCTTATTCCATGCTACAATACAGTGAACTAATAATGTGTTGAAATTTAAAATAAATTAACTGAATTTATATTTATTTGAATTACAATCAACAAATATTCTATATGCATAATTAATTAGAAGAAAACTTATCTGTTAATCTGAAAAAATAACCATGAATGCTATCAATAGTTTGGTTAATATTGGATAATTCATACAATCTTGACTGGTTAAAATGAGATAATCTACCACATATAACTGAAAGATCGTATCTTTCTTTTCCAAAGAAAAAGGCTCAGTGTTTTCTGAGATTTTTCTTAACTCATCTCCTTCTATATTAGGTCATTAATTTCTACCTTTAGCTCATGTGGAAGACTAACAACTTGGTATTTATGATCTTACTTATTTTCATATGATTATTTAATCTAAAACAATAACTATGCTTAAGATTTGTGAATAGTTTCTGATGAAAATTTTATTCCTAAAGAGATACAAAGGAACTCAACAAATGTTCAAAATCAGTTACACTTACACTAGGTTTGGAGTGTGCTTCTGATCTTCAAAATGCATTTAAAAAATATAATGAACTGAAAGTAAAATCAATGAAAGGACGACTTTGTTGTCCATCTATGAAATAAGGCAAGGAACTCAAATGTGAAATTAGAATATCAAGGATCGATCGATCGATCGATCGATCTATCTATCTATCTATCTATCTATCTATCTATCTATCTACATAGGTTTTCACAGAACATTTTTTTTTCAAATTGTGACTCTTTAATAATGGCAAAATTTTTAATGGTATCCCTCTCTTCTCTCCTCTCTTTCCTTGTCTTCCCCCACCCCAAAGCTTCATTCTGACTTGGACAAGGGAGAGGGTACTGTTAAATACACCCTCTCAGGAGATGGTGCCGGGACCGTTTTTACCATTGATGAAACCACAGGCGACATTCATGCAATAAGGAGCCTGGATAGAGAAGAAAAACCTTTCTATACCCTGCGTGCACAGGCTGTAGACATAGAGACCAGGAAGCCTTTGGAGCCTGAATCAGAATTCATCATCAAAGTGCAAGATATTAATGACAATGAGCCAAAGTTTTTGGATGGACCTTATGTTGCTAGTGTTCCAGAAATGTCTCCTGTGGGTAAGTAGGCACGTGAATACTTTGTCAGATGCTAAAGAACCTCTCCAACTTTCACATATTCAGGTTGATAGTATTTGTAACCCCCAAATTACTCTTCAACAGTAGAGGATGAATTAATTTTTACTTGTTTTCTCAGCATTTTCTGTTTAGTTTTTTTTTTTGCTCCTTATGAAGATAACAATTAGAATATATAAAATTATTCCATGTTTTTCCATATGTTGGTGTACCTGACCTCATAACACCCCCTTATATTTGAAGTATAAAAAATATTTGTATTGAAATTTATTATACTTACCAATTCTAGACACAAACTGACTGCTGAATATAACTACCTTATATCACCAAATACCAGAGAGAAATTATGTCTCAAGTATGCAAAACTTAACCAAAGTGTGTATTGAGTCTGATCTTAAAGAGTTCAGAAAAGTTGTGTTTTACATTATTTGTAGTATTGATAGAGATTCAAGAATGGTAAGATCATTTATTTTGTGTATATAAGTATTCCATATTAGTTATACTACAGAACAACTAAGCAAATGATAATGTGATTTCATTATTAGAATAAATCTAGAATTTTACTATGGTAACATAATTCTTAATACTTCATATTTAATATAAATTCATATTTTCAAATCAAAGACTTTACAAACATATATATATATATATATATATATATATATATATATATATATATATATATATATATATATTTATATAAACTAAGTAGATAATTCTAACCTTAATGGCAATTTTTAATTAAAATTCTTACTCCTCAGTCACTACTGACAATTCTTCTTGTATTCTAGTTCCTATCACTTCTAGTTCCTATCACAAGCATTCACAAAACGTGTTTTTTTTTTTTTTCAGTTTCTGAATGTTTAAAATTTTTATAATCAAAAAGATGGGAAAAAAAGAGACAAAGTTTCCATTTAATATTCCTGATTAAAGAAATTATCTTTTGGAACTTCCTATCACATTTGGAAGATAAAGCTATTATTTGCACATAGGTTAAACTTGAAACTTGTATTGAGCCATTGCTAATATTTCCTAATGTCTCAAAGGGCTACCACTCCCCTACAACCACTCAGGACATGCAGTGAAGATTGCACACACTGCCTTAGGGCAGAAACAGGTTAGTGGCTGTAGAACTTGTCACATAGATTTACAACAAATGCACTTGAAATTGTATGTATGACCTTATCAGGCATTCAGAGACCATATTCTCTCCTTTACCTAAGAGATCAAAGGAAAAGCTGCAGATCTCATTCATTTTCAGGTACCTTTTGAGTTGTCCATTTTCTGCAGTGTTATGATTGCTGGAGATTTAGAAATGCAATAGTGAAGAAGCATGCTGTATTAGAAAATAATCTCAGGAAATGAGGTGAACTATTTTATTAATTGTGTCTTTATTTTACAGAGGGGAGAAAAGTAGAGGTAATATACTTTGAGACAAAGGCTTTTAAGAAGGCAGAGCTACTCAGTGGATAAGTAGTTTAACCCAGCCACTTTGTATAAATTAGAAATATCGACATGAGTTTGAAATGCTAAGTGACTCTATTACTAAAACAACATCCTTAAAGCAAACACACACATCTTGTTACAGTATTAGAAATTTTGTCTCATTTGATAAACAATTATGTCTTTTGTTGATTAGGATAAAGTGTAGGGCTGAAAAAGCTGAAGCCCTGCTTTAGAAAATTTGTAGCTAGTTCCTGAGAGAGAAATCAATGTGGATGATAAGGAGCAAGGTAGGTAAGTGAGAAAGCAAAGTGAATGCAGCTTTTGCAATTTTGGGGTTTAATACCATATAATATGAGATCATGAGAAATTGGAAAGATCTGTAGAAAATGAGGCTCTGTGAAATGTGCTGTCCTGTGCCATTACTGAAATTTCTATTGGTTACTCAAGAGACTCCAGTAAAATCTTAACTTGGTTTGCAACACATCCCTCCCCACCCCATGGTAGTGGGGATGGACCCAGGGTCTTCCTCGCCTACACTAGCAAGCCCTCTACCTCTGAGCTGCACCCCCAGCCCTTTTCACTTTATTGTAAGAAAAGTTCTAAGTTTCCCTGTCTTTCTTTGAATTTGTGATCCTCCTGCCTCAGTCTTGCAGCAGCTGAGATTATAGGCCTGCACCACCCTATCTACTTTCTCTGTTTTATTTTCTCTTTTTATTTGTTCTTTTTAGATATATATGACAGTAGATTTTATTTTGACATATTGTATACACATGGAGTATGACATTAAAATTAAGATCCCAATCAACAAATGGGCCAAAGACCTGAACAGACACTTCTCAGAGGAGGACATACAATCAATCAACAAGTACATGAAAAAATGCTCACCATCTCTAGCAGTCAGAGAAATGCAAATCAAAACCACCCTAAGATACCATCTCACTCCAGTAAGATTGGCAGCCATTATGAAGTCAAACAACAACAAGTGCTGGAGAGGATGTGGGGAAAAGGGTACTCTTGTACATTGCTGGTGGGACTGCAAACTGGTGCGGCCAATCTGGAAAGCAGTATGGAGATTCCTGGGAAAGCTGGGAATGGAACCACCATTTGACCCAGCTATTGCCCTTCTTGGACTTTTCCCTGAAGACCTTAAAAGAGCGTACTACAGGGATACTGCTACATCGATGTTCATAGCAGCACAATTCACAATTGCTAGACTGTGGAACCAACCCAGATGCCCTTCAATAGATGAATGGATAAAAAAAATGTGGCATTTATACACCATGGAGTATTACGCAGCACTAAAAAATGACAAAATCATAGAATTTGCAGGGAAATGGATGGCACTAGAGCAGATTATGCTTAGTGAAGCTAGCCAATCCCTAAAAAACAAATACCAAATGTCTTCTTTGATATAATGAGAGCAACTAAGAACAGAGCAGGGAGGAAGAGCAGGAAGAAAAGATTAACATTAAACAGATACATGAGGTGGGATTGAAAGGGAGAGAAAAGGGAAATTGCATGGTAATGGAGGGAGACCCTCATTGTTATACAAAATTACATATAAGAGGTTGTGAGGGGAATGGGAAAATAAACAAGGAGAGATATGAATTACAGTGGATGGGGTAGAGAGAGAAGATGGGAGGGGAGGGAGGGGGGATGGTAGAGGATAGGAAAGGTAGTAGAATACAACAGTTACTAATAGGGCATTATGTAAAAATGTGGATGTGTAACCGATGTGATTCTGCAATCTGCATTTGGGGTAAAATTGGGAGTTCATAACCAACTTGAATCTAATGTATGAAATATGATATGTCAAGAGCTTTATAATGTTTTGAACAACCAATAAAAAAAAAAGAAAAAAAAGATCCCAGTTTTATGGATATACATGATGGTGAGAGTCCCTGACGTGTATGCAGGAGTATTTCTTTTGAACCTGAACCTATTTACATACTGTAGCTTAGCCTGGGTATTCTTGAAATACATTTATATAAGGTGCTCTTTTCAAATGAATACAGAGGTACAAGCACCACCTATGAATTAAATGTTAAAAGTAGCATACGTACCATGCATTGTTACCTTTTTTCATAATCCCCCGTATATATAAGCCCCCCAAACACTGGAGAGCCAGCTTGAGCTGTGGCTTCTGTTGCTTCTCTTTTTCCATGACTAATTTAAAGCTTACCAACAACTATTGTGTATCCAGAACTTGTATTTACTGTATATACCAAGAGTTCTTGAATTCCATTCTCAAGTATGCCCATATTACCCAGTGAAATGGTTCCCTGCTTTAATAAGCAAAGAAAAGTTTATATTTTTCTCTATTTTCCTACCTACCACCCAGCACCAAACAATCTAGACAATGCTTCCTCTTATTATATTCTGGGCATATGTAAATAATTACTGGTCGAGACTGGATGGAACTCTCCCTGTAAAATTCACAATGTTAGCTATCTATGGTTGCAGCACATCTCACTGTCTGCTCTAGGTGTCTGTGTTTGAGGCATTTCCTATGAAATAACTTTCTAACTGTCGAGAATGTGGTGATTTCATTTTCTTAAAAGGGAAGAAACAAATTGAAAAATGCATAGAGTGAAATAGTTTATTTTGTAATACAAAAGAGAACATGAAGTATCAGTGGAATGAAGTGTCTTATACAAATGTCAATGTGTCAGTAATGGATAAGAAACCTGAAATCATGGTATTCAAATAACCGGCAATGAAATTAAGTGAAGTTAACATTACATGGAACATAAGTGTACAAAGAGAGAATGGTGGTGATCAGAATAGTTTGAGATTTTAGAGGAAAATCAATATTTAAGACTTATAACACTATGGAGTGCATTTAATTTCTTAAGTTGAAGAAAATTCTAGTGAATCTATGAATTGTTTAAGAGAAAGGTCACTCTGTTACCAACTCCTGCTATATCCAATATGCCATGGAAGTAATATTCAAAGATAAAGTGCTTTTACTTTGACCTAAGGAAATTACTTAATGATCCAGATATTCTCCAACTCAAAGCTACTCCTTGGAGACAAATTTAGACTTTATGAATGTGGTCTTAATTCTTTAAGATCACTAGAGTTACAATGAATTGCTGGAATGTGCCCTCTTTAATGTCTGATGATTATGCATCAGTAGATTATGCAGTATAAGTTACTTTCCATGGAGCACTGGAAGAATTCAAGTGTTTAAATCCATATTCACAATTGTGTTCTCTTTCTCTGCCTCAGCTAACTCATTTTGAGACAGCTGATTAGATTATTAATAACCAGGTCTCTATGACATGTTTTAGTAGTTGTCAATTCTGAATCATGAATCATAATTTATGTAGTAAAATGTGCTGCTCCCTAAGCAATACCAAGGTACTAGATAATGTAACTGGAAATTTTTGTCCTTTATTTGATTTCATCTTTAAAAAGAAAGAAAAAGAACTTTGTGCATTATTTTTATATGTTTTATTTTTTTTCAATATAAAACTTAGTAAATTCTGTATCTGAGAAAATATGAATATCTTCTAGGCTCTTTGGAAAGAAATTAA